TATCTATCTATCTATCTATCTATCTATCTATCTATCTATCTATCTATCTATCTATCTATCAATCATCAGGAAAGTAAAAATCACCAGCTCAGCTAAATAAGGCCAGGAACAAAAGGGTAGTGCTGGTGGAAAGCCAGGGCTCTGAAAACTGAGAGAGCTGGAGCCAGAACTTCAGACAGAAAGGAATTCCACCAAAATAGAGGCCAAACAAAAAGCCCACCTTTTTTATTTTAATTATTTTATTTTTATTACCTAGATTTAAAGAATGCCCTACTCTGGAAGGTTTGCATAATAAAAAGTCAGAACAAAAAATCAGAATAAATAAATTGTCACTCTAATTCATTAAATCTAGAAATACTTTAATTACATTTCTCTCTCTCTTCCCCCCCCCCCAAACCACACTTCTTTTCAACAGTGGAATCCAGATTTTCAGATGCATGTTACACAATTTAGACAAAATAATAATTTAGATAGTACAGCTATCGGAGACTGAGAAAAATTTACACCTTGCACTGGATTCATGACCACACCAAATACATAGCTTGAAATTCTTCTAAAACAATCAAAAGGGTTCGTGAAATTAATTTTAAAAATTGTCTTACTTCTAAATTTATTAGTCTGGTATAGTGTAAGTTACAAGTAAGAAGCAGACTTATGGCATGCAATGGTTCCTCAAGCACTATATTTGTTTAATAATTTTATAACTGACAGTTTTGGTCTCTACAGGTAGACCTCATTTAGCAACTGCCTTTAAACAACCCTTTAAACAACTGCCTTTAAGCAACCATTCGCAGTTATGGGGGTGATGAAAAAGTAACTTTGCAACCAGTCTTCATACTTACGACCCTTGCAGGCCTGTAAAGCAAAAAGCTGAAGTAAAATTATAAGCACAGTTGCAGTTTCACTTAGCAACCGCTTTGCTTAACAACCAAGTTGCCTGTCCTAATTGTGTTTGCTAAACAAGGACTACCTGTATTCCAAAAAGGAAAATGATCAGAAGAGAAAGATTAGGGTAATTCTAGAATCTAGGTGGAGATCTAAGAATAATCTGAGTTTAATGTGATTATAAATAGCAAGTCTTACCCTACCTGGTGTCATCCAGATGCATCTGGGAGCACCAACATGTGTTGGCTGGAGATGATGGGAGTTGTAGTTCAACACATCTAGAGGCCATCAGCCCCAGAAAATTGATTTGTCACACTTTCTTGTTTGAAATATAAGCAGACAACTACCTAAATTAGTAGTGGTGTTTTTGAGTACAGTAATGGGTTTCCTATGGTCATTCTTTTTAGACATGACATTTTAGGCCACTGTATGTAAAATATATACATTCATATACCATGTATATCAGCACTATAATGATATATCATCACTATGTCATATTTCATATCCATCTTCCGTACCAGTGAAGCCTTCTAGTCCAAAACACACAGGCTCACAGTCTTACACAGTGACAGTTGTTAGCTGGCTGCATTTATCCCCATTTTTTAAAGGAATTTTATTTAATTTTAAGTTAATTTGGCAAAAAAGTCACTCTATTTTTTCCCCCACAGATTACTTATTCTGTACTTTAAACTCTCATCCTGTATGAGGCAGTGAATGCCCTCAAAGTTTTTCCAAAGTTGCAAATAGGGAGGACTGAACTCCTCCCAGCTCCTACTCTATGGTCCCATGTGGAAGTTATGAGGCAACCCACCACTTACCTGTATCTCCCCAGCCCGATATGACGCAAGTATTTCTGTCCATGTTAGGTTTCTGCTTCCTGACAGGGAGGCATACTGGAAAGACATGGCGGCTGAAGGAGAGACAGTTGTCCTCTTTGCCCAACATCCTGACCAGAGCAATGTCATTATCATTACTGCTCGACCGATAGTTTCTATGAAGGAGAATCTTCTCCACTGGCAGCTCTCTTTCTGACTCATCTCTCACACCAGTATGGTGGTCTCCCACCCGCAGAAGGTAGCGACGCACATCTACTCCAAACCTGCCCGTAAGAAAGTCATGAGCCAGTTAGTTTTCACTGAAGATGCTTCACCTCAGGGAGACCATTTCCTATTTCTTTCAACTAAAAAGGATCTTTTCTAAGAGGCCTTGAGTTAATTAAAAACATCTCCTCTGCCATTCTACGCCGATGAAATATAGACAATCATATAATACATTACACTTTTTAGGCAGATATTTTGGTGAAGCTAATGCATTCCTCAAGAATGTAACAGGCACTTATGAATTAGAACAGAGCAACAATCAAGTCAACCTTAAGTACTTGAGGGATACCAGAACAAGCAGCCATGCATCCAGCCACTATTGGCATACCCAGATACCCAGCTGATGCCAGCATCAATTTTCTCTTGTCAAAGTAGCTGGACTTTACTCCACATTGGCAATGAGACTAGTGAGTGGTGCTGTCTTAATCGCTTACTGCAGGGTACATCAAGATGCAATGGTTGATAGATTTCCCTGCCAGTGGGAAAATCCTTCATTGATATTGCTCTCCCTATTGCAGGCTAGGGCTGAGAAGGAGGCAAGTTCTGACCGATGGCTGGAGCAGCTGAAGAAATGAGTTTCACCTTCTGTCAGAGGGCAGGGAGGGACAGTAAATCAGGAGAAGCTTTCTCTTCCTTACCCCCTGGATCACCTGCAGTGCCTGATCCACAGGGGTTGCACCTTCTGTTACCCCACCACTGTGGATCAGGCCCAGAGGTGGGGGTATTTCCAGGTATAGTAGGAGAGGCTTCCCACGCAACCTGCCCTCATGCCACAGGAAGGACCCGGGAGGTGAGAGGATGACTTTAGGTGTTTTAGGTCTCCTTCGGATTCCCCCATACAATCTGCTGACATGCCCTCTAGGGTGCGGGTTGTGCTGATTGAAGCAAGAGGCCTCTCCCGCTTCAGCCAGCACAGCCTCCGATGTGGTCTTTGGGCAGGTCATGGGGGACTGGGCTTGATGAAGGTGGAGGAATCCCCTAGTTCATGACTCCTCACATGCCAGGAGAGGGAGAGGAGAGTAGAGGAGATGTGTCTGCATCATCCATAAGCAGCCAGTAGTAGCTGGGCAGATCCAACCCCCATTACATGCCTCATCAGCTTAGTCACCACCAAAGTGTGACGCAACATGCAGATAGTAATGTTTCTTCTGAAAAAAGGTGGAAAATATCAACTCAATTTCAGTCCATTGGTATCAGTTATGAGCTGCAGACAAGAGGAAGGATATATCATGAGGTGACCTTCAAAAACAGTTAGCTAGCTACCCTCAAGTTGAATTTAGAGAGACACGAAGAAGCTTTCTATGACATGTTCACAAACCGTGACTTAATTTTTTCCTTATTATATCTCACCTTTTGAAGCAATGTGCCGCTGTCACAACCCAACAACTGCTGATAAGTGTTGCACCACACAGCAAACGAGCATCTTTGTGAAACTCCTTCACACGCAAGGAGACTTGCCATGGCCAACTTCCCCTGAAAGAGAAAAGCAATGCAGAACACAGACCAAATGGAAAATGCTAGAATGGACTTTCATGTGGAGGTTTAGTGTGACTCTTCCACCCAGCCTCTGTTGATTTGTATAGCCTGTTATTTAAGCTGCCTTGTGTAGGCTAGTATCATTCCCTCCTAGAACAGAATAAAATGATATCAGAACAAGCAGCTATGCATGTCAGAATTGCTAATGATAATTCCTCAGGAAAGTGAAGGAACAACATGCCCAGAACCTGTATCGTACCATCAGCAAAAATGTTGTCAACAAATGTCTGGAACTCATAAAAATATCCTTCTACCTAACTCTATCCATATTTCCTAGACTTCCTGGCAATTTGAACAATCCAGTCTTTTGTACACTGAATGCACATTTGCTCATTATTTTATGCCCCACTTGAAAATGCAGTGAAGATTCCAAATGGCCTGCCATCTCATTTCAGACTCAAATTATCCACTTTACTCCACATAATGTTGCTCCACTTCAGAAGAAATATTGTAAAACTGGAAATCGGCAGGGAAACATTCTGTGAGCATGCATGGAGAGGAGAGGATATAATGGGGGCTGTGAATCTTAATCCTTTTTAGAAATTTGGCACAATTTCATGTGCAGTCCAATACAGAAAGGTTAAGAGGGCTATTACTTAAATCAAGGACAGAAGTATGGCCATATGAAAACTATATACAGTATTGAGACGGTCAAAAGGGCAACTGAGGAAGGTCAAAAGTTCAATTTAAGAAGGTTAAAAGTTCAATTTAAGGTTAAACTGTCAACTTTGAAAGGTTAAAAGTTCAATGTGAAAGGTTAAAAGTTCAATTTAAGGCTAGAAGTACAATCTAATAAGGTTAAAAGTTCAACTTAGGTTAAAAGTGCAATGTTTTACTATTTGACTGTAAGTCTGAATTAAGGAGGGGCAACAGGGCATAACCAACTGGTCATAGCCTGTTGGCACCACCTTAATTTAATGGTGTATTTTCCTGCACCACGGGGCAGCTGCAGCAGCCCAGGAAGAATTGTGGCTTCTTCAAGGAGTTGCCTGCACACACAAGAAGCTCACCTATGTTCCCCTCAAAGCTCTTTTTGCTTGGATCCAAATAAGGGCACATCGCTAGTGGAGTATTTTGTGACCTACCCACACCTAAAACCCGATCCTCCTCCTATCCACAAAGTTTGCCTTCAGAATTGTAAAGTAGATTGGCTCAGTTTCCTTCCTGCATTGTTTTCTTTATTCAGCTGTTATTCAGTTTAACAGAAACACTTCTGCTCCAAAACCTTTCCAAAGCTGAGGTTTATTTATTTTTATTTATTTTTATATAAAATAATAATATAAATAAAATAAATATTTATTTTTAGCACTTCAGATCATTCTTTATTTTAAAAAAAAGGTTCCAAAGTGGCTTACAAGGTTTATGGTAAAACAGTCAGGTTTACCATTAAAATATATATATTGACATGCAAACACACATACAGAGAGACACACACATTCATATTCTTTATCTGGAGGTTCAGCTAATAAAAGTAAAATCTCTTTTAAGTCATATTAGACTCCATGACCCTTTCCACATAGTTTCTTGGCAACAACATGAGCATGATTTTCTACTGCCTTGTGAGGGAAAGCAGTGTGCCTGGTCCACGAAGGAAACAACAGATGACCATCGTGAAGATGCTGAGTAGACCAAGGGGGCAGCAGGGGCACATTCTCAGCTTCAGAGAAACCTGCACAAAATCTCGTGGCTCAGCTGCAACATTAGCTAGTTATTGCTGTCCTTACGGTGGTCATAGCAAAGCACTTACATATCTCTACTTCCATTAAACCTTGAGTTTTGAATAGTCTTTTCAGGGGGTGAATGGGCTATTAAGCATTGGCTCTGCTAGGTTTGTGGTAGGACCCACAAAGCTTTTTGGTGACAACTCGATTTACTATAGACAGAATTCCTTGATACATCTTCTGTGTCCAGGGTACTTTCTAATCCAGTAGCCAGAGGATGTAGATAAAATGCTTGGAAAATAGCCAAGATAGCTCTCTTTTTCTTTGTTATTATCATAAATCCAAGATGGAGGTAGGGAATATCTGGGTAGATTCACCCTGACTCACCCAAGCTCACCCAACTTGCTTTTGTGCTTAAGGGAGGACTAGAACCTGGGTCTCCTCATTCCTAGTCCAGCCCCTGAGCCATTACACCATGGTAGCTCAGTCAGGGTTCTCCCTAGATCAGATATGTATGTGTTTAAGATCTCAGAGTATGTTCCATGTGTATCAAAGGAGAGGTTTGCTCTAGGGCTCCACTGATGAAATATCCTCCCCACAGAAATGTAGTTAATGTGAACTTTATTACCTATTCTGGAGCTATGTGAACACTTTTTCATTTGCCCAGGCCTTTTAACATATTGATCCACCATTTTATATTGCTCTGTCTTTTCACTTGTTTTATGCTAACCTTCTTTTCTATTTTTGTTGCGTACATGGCTCTGATAGCTTTAGATGAAGGGTGGTCTGAAAATTCTCCCACGTACGCTTTTCAAAAGTTAAAACATAGAAAGAGGAAAGGCTTAACAAATGCCCCAAGTAAATGATGTAAACCTATGGGGAGGTTTTACCATTTTAAATGAACTATAAGCCACTTTAGCAAAATTTCCTTTGAAGGATGGAGGTTATACAGATTTTAAATAAATTAAATAAATCAGATAGATGGAGACCAAGAAATCCCTTCTCTATCTACTTCTCCCAACCCTGAAGGAATGAACGGCCTTTCTCCAACTGGGGCTTTTTATGTATTAAAAAATGCAGAACCCCCAAAGCACAGGGTGAGTGATTTCTCCCTTTCACCTAATGGTACAGGCTTCCGTATCTTACAAAAGAACTGGCAGCAGCTGTAAATATTACACTGTTCCGCCATTTGGAGAAGGTAATTCATGACAAGATATGCTTTTAAGAGTGCCCTCTAGCTTCAGCTCTTTCGCAGAAAACAGGTTTATCAAGATATATAAATATTTGAGGGCTGCTAGAAGTAAACAGGTGAAAATGAGCTGATAACTGTTCTGTGATAAGAAGCAAGCAAGGTACCTGGGGGATTTGTTTCCACCAATTATCCTTCTGTTGCGGTGCTGAGCCAAACGAAGACCGCATAGGCCAATATTGGAACCTGCCAATAAAGCCAAAATGATTAGGTTTGTACTCTCCTGCGACAATGCTGGTGCAAGAATCACACTTTGATATGCTGTAAGCCTCCAGTCGATTCTTGTCCTTAAATGGTGGGAAGAGAATTAATACAACTACAGTAGTTTGTTCCTAAAACAGTCTTTGTTAGATCTTTACTTTCCTACAACCATTACAGTGCTAAGAGATTAAACATGGAAATAGCAACATTATCATATTCTTGAAAGAAAGAAAATCTTGGCTGTATTACCCTCCACAAAGAAAGAGTAGAAAGAGAAAAAGATATGCAGATGAAGCATATACAATGTCCAATTTTCTCACTTTTTCAACCTAGAGTTATCAACTTTAGCTAAAAGCAATATTTTCTGCCTAAACAAATGCACTTACGATATATATTTTCAAATGTTCTATCTCTACTTGCCAGAAGCTACGTTCCAAGTAAGGCATGCAAATTTCTCTCTCTCTCCCTCTCTCTAACAAATAAGATACTGTATTTATAATGCATTCTGGAAGGGCCTTCATTTTTCCAGAACTCCACAGGAACTGTAAAGACTAGATCCCAGGACAGAAGTTTTTCCTTCATGAAGGCCCTTCCAGAATGCATTTTAAATACAGTATCTTATTTGTTAGAGAGAGATTCAAAGTAAGAACTTGGAAGTATTTAATTGAAACAACAGGTTTTACATTCAGGCAACTATTTCATGTAGGCCTTGCAGTTCTTTCTCTTTTTTCCTCTATTGACACTAATTTCCTTTTCCCCCAGGATCCACATTTTAAAGAAAGAGCCTTAGTTTTAAAGGGTTAGATTTATTTGCCTAGTTGTACCACCAGGTTATTGCCAGCCAGCCTAGTACTGTTCTTTCAGATGGACTCTAGTTCTCCAGGAACTTGGTCAAAAGCTTTTTCAGCCCTTTTGTGAGATCTTGTTTTAAATGGGACTGAGTTTGATGCCTTCCACAGGCTAAGCCCATCCTGAAACCAGCAGATGCTGAACTTCTTCTCCCTCCGAATGCCTAAAGTTCAACAACACTGGCAGCATGGACATGGCATCAGTGCCCAGAGAATACTTTAATCCCACAGGCATGTAATTTCCATGCTTGATTTTTGTTGACAAAAAAATAGCAGTTGGACCATACAGAGGCTGCAGATCAAAGCCAAAGGATATGGAAAGGGCCTTCTTTAATCATTTCTTTCCATACTGTTTCCTGCCACAACTGCCCCCATTATATGCCTCTTACTTGCAACAACTCAGCATGAATTTCTGGAAGCCCAGTTTTCTGCCCAACAAGGCATGAGTAACATGAGACTTACCATAATTTCTTATAACTTGGCTCTCCTTTCCCATGTAGTCACACATCACACCTGCACTTTTCTTCTGCCAGCAATTGTGTTGACCACTTTTATGGACGATGCACTCCCCCAAGGTGTGCTCAGTGCCAGAGCATTCCACATTGTCCAGGTGGACGGGTGCATGCCATGCATCTGAATAAGGCCTACTGGTGGCTACAGCAGTACCACTGGAAGGGGAGACTTGCTTAAATTAACCAGGAAGTCACTACAGGCTAGGAGCATGCACAGAACCAGAAAAGGTTTTATTTCAAATCTGAAATAAACATTATGTGCCAGAGGTTCTGACGATCTACTCTGGATAAGCCACGGTTTGGCAGAACTGGAACCCAGAATGCTTTGCTTATTTTTGGATTTCAGACTGAAAAACAAATACAACCTGCTTAAGACAAAACCATTCAAAAACACTGCTTGAGAGATCTGTGGTCAGACCGAAACATATTTTTGGTGTTTTGTTCACTGCATAGAACAAAATAAGACTGTGTTATTCTGGGCAGAAATTGAGGCACTGGGAGAGGGAAAACCCCAATGACATCTCCAGCCATGGAGAGGCCTAGGAGGCATCTGGGGAGACCTGGGGAACCAGGAAGATATGCTGGTGTGGGGTATTTGTGTAATAGGCTGTGAGAATAACCTTGAGGAACAGAAGGAAAAGCTGCAGCCAAGGCAATGGTCAGAGAAGAGAAATCTGAGTCCAAAGCAGGAATGTAATTTGAGAAAATGGCTGACTTGCCCTTAGGATAAAGGCAGGGAGGGGGGAGGCACATTTAGAGTTGCAAGATTCTGTTACTGTAGCCCTATAATAAAAATAGTTTTAGTATTCATAATTTTGGTGTTCAAGTCCAACCTGAGAGAGCTGACAATTGGCAGCAATGGCTGAGGGGAGGGAGGAAGGGAGAGGACTGGCCTGTAGGCCATGCTGGGAACTGCCAAGGGGACAAGGGGCACAGGCACCAGCTCTTGGGCAAGGAATAGTTGTACATCCCTGCAACAGGCTAATCTCTCCAGTCCCCTCCACACCTAGGCATGCAACCCAGGCAGGCCACTAGCAGAAGGGAAGCACCAAAGGGCCATGGGGCACCTTAGATCAGTGTTTCTCAACCTTGGCAACTTTAAGATGTGTGGACTTCCAAGGTTGAGAAACATTGCCTTAGACTAACTGGAAAAGCTTGCCGGGGCTGCCGGACATTCTCCTCGGCTGATGTGAGTGAACCAGGCAGTGGCTGGCAAAAGGGTTAATTCTTGAAGGGGTCACATAATCAGGTCGAATGGCAGTTAGGAGAACAGCAGGTCCAGGGAGCTTGGTAGAAGCAGCAGGACAAAGGCCTGTGCCTGGAGAAGAAGGGCACTGGGTACACCTGAGCCTGTCTGGCACAAGGCACTGGGAGGTGGTGCAGGTTGGCCTGAAGCCTCCCCTTCACAACAGGACCTTATCAGCTCCCCCAAGTTGGAAATCCCTGTGCAAACAAAGAAAACAAGCACAGGTTCATAAGACTTCAGTGGCCTGATGCTGATCCTCGTTTACTAAGGAAGGAAACAGCAAATTGCAATATTCATGCAAAGTCCATCCCAAAGGTACACTCTGTATCTTGTCTCTATTCAGTCAAAGAGCAACTCAAACTTTAATAATAGACAACTGTGGTCTATTGGCAACCAAGATGCACAAAACTGTACTTGCATATTAAACCACATCCTGAAGTTATTGCTGCAAATAAAGGGCAAGGATAACATCCAGCCCCTTAAGTAGTTCCACCAACTTCCATAATGAGCATATCCGTGGCGAGGGTCCCCATTTTCCATTTGACTGAGAGCTACACTTGCATGCTGTTAATTAGAGTGAAGCCTGCTGAGGGCCACACTGTAAAACCGGGTGGGACAGGACCCATCCTGGGGGGCCAGGGATTTTAAAGGGTGAAATGGGTGTTTTAGTTCTCAGGGCACCCAATTTGCCTCTTAATGCCTCCCAAATGCCAACAGTTTTTTTTAAATAGAACTTGGCCACCACTCTTAGCAAACTACACCATTCTAAAGGCATGTGTTGATACCCAGGAACTGACTTTACATAAGCCACTTTATCTTCAAGAGAATCTTGCTGTCCAGTTACCTGTAGCCCAGCTGCCTGCAAACCACAGCTGCGGCGCTCTCTGTCCAGCCTCCAGCACAAATTCTGCCCCACCGTCCATTCAGGAAAATCTCTACGTGGCCTTCGTTGGTGCTGTCCCCATCCACCAGCCGCACCAGAACCCCTGTAGGTTAAAGCTGTACTTTAAGAAGTACAGAAGGAGCTAATTCTGAACTAAACTCAGGAATGACTTATAAATAAGATAATTTGAAGAGACAACAAGATGATATACTCAGTAACACTGCCAAGATGGAGAGGGCCATGGACAAGGTAGGCATTTTGTGATACAGTACAATTTAGAAGGAAGGCAAGAACCAGGGGAACTTATGCAGCATTTGGAGGGGGGAACAGGGATGTGGGGCCCTGGATTTGTACCAATTCCTGCATCCCAAAAAGCCCAACTATGGTGCTGAGGAAGGAAAAAATCTGGAAGTCACTCTGAAATACTAACTCCCCACACATACCACCGAACTTAGTTCTTTTAAGGGATTAACTCACGGCCAAAAACACATAGGAGGTGAGGACAAATACTTTGACACACCCACCACTGTTTTCTGATATACCCAAACTACATGCAATTCTTCCACCTGCTCCAATGACATACATGTCTAATGCATACATGTCTAATTTTTGCAATAAAATATATATTTGAAGCAAAATAAGTGAACCTGGTCAGCCACCACCTTACCTTGCCATCTGTCAGGGCTGGAGAAGTTGCCTGAAACAATAGACAGGAAGAGACAGAATTCAGTGTCCCTTACCTGCTGATATTAAAATTAAACTCCATCCCTCCATCTTATATGTGAAGAGGACAGACAAAAGAATGAACCCGCAGAACACCCATTATCACAACTACAGATGAAGACATCAGTGACAAGGAACAATATTTTGTGTGCGTGGTCTGTTATTATTGCAATTATTTCTTCTCTAAACAAGTTTTTATTTTATTTGTGTTCATGATTACTGGCAGTTTTACAACTTAATGGCAAAGTGTGTGTTTCCATATTGCCTTGTTCTATGGAAGTTGGATATCAAAATATAATCCTTAAATTGAGCTTGTCTGCTGGTGACTACATGGACAGGCACAAGTAGTTTTCATGGAACAGAATGTTAATGGTTTGCCACAGACTTCTTCCAATATATCTATATATTTTCCTTCCTTTCCAGTCAAGACAAAAATGCTGTAATTCTCATGTGGTCTCCCATCCAAGGACTTAACAGGGTTGACCCCATTTAGCTTCTGAAATGAGACTAGTTCTACTACATGCTGCCCTCTGTTGCGGCGTATCATACTTGGCCTGCCCTATTTTTAAAAAGAACAGTTTTTAAGATCTCAGTGGCTGCACAGTTCAGAATCCATGTCCTCAAGGGCCGAGGGACATTGGCTTGCCTTGTCACTACATTCTCCCATCTTTGGATGAGACATAGCTCCCTACCGGTTTTATCTTCAGTGATTCTGTCGCTAATCAGGGAACAGTGGATTCCCACATCTTCCTCATGTGAGCAGTCGTGTTGACCCCAGTTACTATGGGGACAGTCAATCAGAGATGACTCCATGCCTATGCAAGCCACATCATCCAGCAAGATGAAACCTTGGCCTGGTGCAAATTCACCCTTTGATGCCAGCCTGGCAGGGCCACTGAAGAAAGAAAGCAAAAAACAGACTGGTAACTTTTGTTCTCAGAACCCCCTTCAGAGGCTAATCATCTTAACCAGCAAGGAATCTTTATTCTTTGGAAGGAAATCCATAAACCCAATTTAAAGAAGAATCACATTTATAAAGTGGAGGCACTTCTTTGCATGAGTTCCTTCTCAAGACATTAGAGCAGTGTTTCTCAAACTTAGCAACATTAAGATGTGTGGACTTCAACTCCCAGCCTTCTCCAGCCAGCATGTTGGGTGGAGAATTTGGGAGTTGAAGTCCACACATCTTAAAATTGCCAAGGTTATGGAACACTGCATTAGAGGATGTTACAAAAAATCCTTCTGGATCCTGCAAATACATGTATATGAGCTGATAGGAGACTATGAATCAACACCCACATACAAGCAATATGAGCAGTTAAAAAAAGCATTTTATTTTTAATTAATTCCATTTTAACAAATCATTGGAACTTCTAGGTGGAACTGCTTGGACTAAATATAACAGAACCTAATATTCCTCCTTTAGTACTCTAATCTCCTTTTTCTTCCAATCTTTTCCTCTTTTTCTAACATCTGGAAGCAAAGATTTACCTTTTTATGTATATTAAACATACCTTATTTTTCATAATTAAAAACAGTGTTAATATTAATCAAAATTATGGGTTTTTTAAGATTGAAAATATTTTAAATTGATATTCTTGATGGCATTTCACATTTGAACAAAACAGAAAATCTGCACTATTTCCAGCTGAGGGACAAGAAAACAGGCCCCAAACTTTGATATTCCTCTTTGATTATGAAAGTGATGCTGTCCTCTTGTAATTATACACATTTTGGCATAATTCAGATATTGCACCGTGTTATAGTCAAGACATTTGTGACCATCAAAACAGAAAAAAGTTGAAATTAATTTGCAAACAGTGACATTTTGGCAACTGATGATAGTCAATTGTTGGTCTTGTCTTTTAAAAAGGAAGTAGTCTTTTCTCACTTACCTGAAGCCCAGCTGTCTGCAAGTAACTTGGGCATTGATACCTGTCTTCCAGCCGTCATCACAAACACATCCCCATATTCCATTGTGATAGATCTCCACCCTTCCTTCACTTGGATGGAGGCCTCCTGCCAATCGGATTGTTCCTTCTGCTTGGTTGCAAGAGATACAAACCGAAAAACAATTAGTAAAAAACCTGAAAGTTTCCTTCTGTACCATTTTCAGAAAAGGAACTCATAATGGCTGCCTTCAAACAAGCTATGTATTCACTAGAGAAGTTAACAGGATAATCTATACCTACAAAGGGGTCACAGATTACCCCTGCATCTTCAATATGGTCACAGTTGTGTTCTCCCCAATCACTCTTCTTGCATTGGTCCAGTGAAAGCTCATTGCCTGAGCATTCTACTTCATCCAGCAGGATTGGGCCTGAGCCCTTCCCAAAGTGAGCCCAAGACACAGCTCTTGAGATTCCACTGGGAAGAAGACAAAAACATACACCCTGAACTGATGCACAGGAGAGAAAACACTGCTTTGAACAAGAGCTAGGAGGTAATAGTTTTGCACTCATAAGTGTCGTCATTCAAAGAGACTACCTGAGATCCAACTGTCTGCAAACCACTTCAGCATCTTTGTCATCCCACTGATCATCACAGATGGTGCCCCAACGGCCATCACGATAAACTTCCACTCGGCCCTCAAAGCTTTTCTTGCCCCCCACCAGACGAAGCGGAGATCCTATAGCTGCTTATCAAGAACAACAAGAGCAATCAGCCAACCAAGAAACACAATCCAGAATAATTCTAGTGATTACGCACAATGAATCCTTTCAGCTACTACCACAAATCCTTTTGCTTGACAACATGAGTCATATTATTTTGAATATATACCAGCTTGATCTATCCGCAACATTTTAGGGGATAGGAGGACACTCACATATCCATCACTGGGTCAATGAATTCATTCCTTCTGAGTAGCACACCATTGCTAAACAATCATTTTATTTCCCTAGATTCTGAACAAAGGATCAAACACCACATTCACCTAAACAAAATGGCAAAATAATATTTTTTAGCAGATTCTGAGTGAAAAATGTGTGCCTGTTTGGTCTGGAAATGTTTATCAGCAATTAAACATTTAGAGTTCATCATATGCACAATTTCCCCAATTTTGCTGGAGACCATCAATTTTTGGACCAGAGCACCTATGAAGAGAAAAGTTTCAAAACTTGTATTGCATGTATTATGCCAGATGATTTTTTGGCCTGAAATAACCATGGTGAGATCCAGAACAGTACATAAAATAATTGAAACCAAGATGTTAAAACTGTGCTGTTTCTCCAGTGACAGCAAGCAAAGATGGTCTTCAGATAGGCAGATTCATTTCTTTCATATTTTTTTTCATCACGGTGCTTTATGCTCAGAATCAACTTGCAGGAGCAGGTGAGATGAGTCAAGATGGTGGCTGCATCCATATGATTGAAGCCCTGCTCCTTTTTACATGCATTATGACATGCATAAAAGGGGAGGGGTTTTGATCAACTGATTTCAGACACCATCTTGACTCTTTTAAGCCCCGTCCTCCTCCACAGGTGTCTGTAGAGCAGCACAGAGATGATCTTGGAGAAGATATGTGGTAACCATTAGTAAAATATGAGCTTAGCCCAGGAAAACAAAGTGCAAGAAAGAAACTCCAGCTTGCCCTGCCTTGATTCTCTTCTAGAATCCTTCTAGGATCTTCTCGAAGGGCTGACAATGCCCCTCTACCAAAAAACATTCTTTTGCAGTTTTGCCTTGCTGCAGCAAAACTTCCCAGGATTGTTGGTTTTCTGTTTTGCTGAAAGAAATGGAAAGAAATCTGTGTTTATCTTCAGGTTTACCTTGAGAAGACCCACAAGTGGCTCCTGCAGTTCCCTGGATACAAGCTCTGAACATTTCTTGGTAATTGCACTGGGACAGCATCTTCTCATCCCCACGACAGTTCGTAGACTGAAGATGGAAGGGCAACAGCTCCAGAACGGAAGGACGCTGCCTTAGGGCTGTGCCAGTTTCACTGTCCAAAAGTAAAAAGTGCAGTGACTCCACAGATGATAATAGGCCATGTTAGGGTATAGCGTTTTTCCACAGCTTTCCAGCAAGATCAGTTTAGTAGCTTTGCATTTCTGCACAAGGATCCCTAGTACTGGGCTCCCTTCTCTTGGGCTATGTCTGGCACTATAGCCAGCTGGCCAGGAGGGTCACAACACAAGCCTTCTTCCAGATGGAGTCCTGAATTAGGAATGCAGCATGAGGCTTGGAAAATTTACCTTAAAAATTTAGACTGGTTAGACTCAAACAGAGTTGTCTGGCTTCCTTGACCTAATTCCACTCCATAAAGAAATTAAGCTAAAGGTTTGGAGGAGAAAAGATGAAAGAGACACCACCACTCCAGCAGGGGAAGTGCAAAAAAAGAACAAGATAATTGTTGTTGCAAGTGTGTCTCAAAATGCCAGGCACATGTAGAGGAGTACAGAGATAGCCTTGACAAAGATATGCAGCAACCATTAGTTCATCATGAGCTCAGCCCTGGAAAACAGGAAGGCATGAGAAAGAAACTCAAGATTGGCCCACCTTGACTCTCTTTGATATAAGAGGAAAGGAAGGGGAAATACTATCAGGCTTTCAAGATTCTGTTACTATAGCCTGTATCAATAAAGTGGAGTTCTAGTATTTCTTGTGGTGCCTGTTCCTGATCTGGTCTACCTCAAAGGGCTGATATCACAGCCCCTTTCCCCACGGTCCCCTCCTCTTGGTTCTTGCACCTGCTTGACAGGAGGTAGTGCCAAAAAGGGCGTCCTTGCTATCTGGCAACAAATGGAAGGGCTCTTTTTCTTCTCTGCTGTTACCTCCTCCTCGCCACTGCCACTGTCTGACAAAAGATAATGAGTAAGGAGGAGTTTTAAGGGGCAGCAGCCCAAAGTGCTTATGTACTGTTCTAGGAAGTTTTTTTTCAGTGGAAGCCCCAACCACACAGTTGGTGCAAGAAGCTGGTAGAAGCCCCTTCTAATCAGTTTCATGCGTTAAGTACCGTATATATCCTCAAGCTGGTTTATGGCATATATTTAATGCAATATGCTTTTATCATTCTGGTCACTTCTGTGTTGCTTGTATCATTTAATATGTTTGATTTCTGTTTTTAAGGCTACTTTTGATTTTCAAGAGGGTTAATTTCTCTTGAGAAAAAACAGAGGTGGCTCAATCCAGTGACATGTTCCTACCTCAGCCCCAGTTGTCGGCATACCACACTGGCATCCAAGTCTGTCCACTCATCACCACAGATCATGCCCCACAGCCCACTGTAGTATAATTCCACCCTGCCACCTTCCTTCAGTCGCACAGAACCTGTCAGAGCAAAGAGACCAAAAGAATAAGGTCAACAAAATCTCCAGAAGGTTAAGTAATGCCCTTCCCAAAGGAATCAGGCTGCTTTCTTCTTCTGCCAGGGATGATGGAGGAAATTCTGCAGGACTTGGGAGGACATTGTCACAGATTTTTACTCAATGTTTTCTATGCAATATGAGAAGAACATCAGCTGATCGTTGCACAGCAAAATCAGTGCTAGCTTCTTTCTATCAGTAGTAAATCACAATGTCGGGATTCTTAATAAAGCCAAAGCCTTGCTTGGACTTGACCTTTCCATGTTTTTTTATTATATTTATATCCCATCTCATTCAACATTTTTGCTCTCATGCAATGAAAAGGTTGCATTGGAAAGAAAGGGGTACACTGTTTTCAAGTGGAGAAAGTGCAGCTAGAGGAATGTAGTTGCAGATGCTCCAGGGAAGATGATTCCTTGAACCTCTATTTGAGCCACTGAGATTACTTCCTAACCACTTTACATTCATCCATCCTTCTCTAACTTTGTCTCCATTCTCAAGGAAAAGATATCAAATAGCTGCCCTCTCGTAGGACAAAATTCAGTTGGAACCTATTGCAGCAAGGCTCAGAAGGATGATGGTCTCAATCTTCCTCTCCCAGAATCCCTTGGAGTCCACATCTTCTAACCCAGTGTTTCTCAACCTTAGCAACTGTAAGATTTGTGGACTTCAATTCCCAGCTGCTGGCTGTGGAATTCTGGGAGTTGAAGTCCACATGTCTTAAAGTTGCCAAGGTTGAGAAACACTGCTCTAGCCCCATGGCCTGCCTTGGCATCTGGCTGGTGGTTCTTACTGCCACCACCTACCTTTTAGGGAATGCCTTCCCTGAAATCCTCCTCCCTAACCCACAATTTCATTAAATTTATGACAATTAAAAAGGGAAAAATAATGGTCATATCATATAGTCACCCACAGGGACATTTCCCTGTGTGACTCATGTAAAATAGGGGAATGGCTTCAGTCATACTGTTGTGAATATCATCTTCACTTTTTTGAACACCATCCCTCCCAAGAATGCTCCTGTGCGATCAATCTCCTTCTTATACTTTTATGAGAGGTCTAAATGTTATTCTATTTCTTCCCTCTTTCTATTGTTTCTCCTACCATTTCCTTTCCAGAGAGAATCCATTCAGGAGGAGGAGATAGATTAATTACCCAATACATTTTCTATGTAACACTAAGTGCCTTCTGTTTGGATTTTGGGTACTCTGATCTCCATTCCAGAAAATCTGAATTCTTAACCTGGAAGCAAGCCCCTGTTTAAGCAAGTTGCTCCTTCTTCTTCTTCTTCTTCTTCTTCTTCTTCTTCTTCTTCTTCTTCTTCTTCTTCTTCTTCTT